TGGTTAGAACTTCCTTCTTCTCAATTTCACAAAAATATTCCAACAAGTTTTAATGTAAGTTATTTTCAATTAAAGATCCCTTGTGAAATGGATTTCACGATTTCGAAGTCTTAAATATGCTGGCAGCCATCTGAATTTGCCAGTACAGAAGAGTTTGCTGAAGCAGGACACTGATAAGACATCATTTCACTGAGGATTAATGGCAGTTATGATAGAAAAGCTACCCTGGTGATGTACAAGAGTCCTTTATTGTCCAGAACATAACCTAATACAAGATGAGTAATTCTTCTTACTCTTCAACCCATCACATCAATGCCACGAATTGCTGACCAGGAATGTGTTCTAGATCCATACAGTTCATCTGCCAACTCATCAGGACCACAGGTCTTTACTTCGAAATCGATAATTCATGAATAACCCCTCATTCAATACAATACCGGTAGAGCACTCTTCACGATGAGTAAAGATGGATTGGGACCAACATTAGTCCTGAGCTTTTCCAACAATTGTGTGGTGTGAGAGGAAAGAGATACAAAAAGGAGGAACACATCAATCAACACAAGACTGGTGTGGTCAAATTTTAGGAAATATTTAATTGGGGTGGGAGGGGATATACACCACAGAAACCAGTGTGTAAAAATTAAAGAGATCAGACTAGTAAAATAATTCGAGTTTGTCATTGGATTCTTAACTAAGGTTATAGTCTGGATCTTGATGTGAAGAGGCTGTTTTGAATTAATTATATGTTTTTTGTCGATTACAATTGTTTGTAATGGTTAAGCCACCTACTGTAGAGCAAGTGCAGATTGATACAGCTGATGCTGTGCTATCTTGATGCAGTGTTGTACCAGTTCAAATCACGAGAATCAATATGGCAAACATTACTATCTGTCATTATTGGGCTAAATAAGAGTTTGATTGATCTGTATTCTTCATAACTGAAATGAAGTTACAACTACTCAAGTACTCCAGTACCAACAACCAATACCGTGACACCGACACCGATATCAAAAACCTATCATGATTTGGATCCTGAATATAAAGTAGCTTCTATCTATGAAATTCAGAGACTTTCGTGATTTTAGATATATAAACATACTTGAATAGATGTGCTTGCTATGTGTTTGCAATACTCGAGTATTGAAGAGCGAGTAGAAGTATAAGTAGAAGTCCTAGTATTAAATATAAGCATTTGATTTATAGAATCAACCACCGTGATAGTTTAACAGTTACCAGTATATATTTCGAGTATCAGAGTAAGGGTACAACCCAAATTGAGTTCTGATACACTTTCCTTACTATTTACTCCGGGTTTACCAGTATATTCCCGGGTGTTTTTTAATTCTTGAAATCCTTAGCTTAGATACCAATATTCATATCGATTGGCTTCCTTTCTCTTGTAATGTACCAGTGTACAAGTACTCAGTACCGTTGTATCATTGGGTTAGTTATAATTAAGATGAACCTTAGTACCGTGGGCTCCGGCAGTCATATAACCTTAACCTTAACCTTACTAAACTACTCGAATACAGGCTACAGCTTGGAGTTCGAGATACTAGATATTGAGTTATCACATATAGTATAGTACAGTATATAAGTTATCAGAGATAAAAAATTGGAGAAAAAGCCAAATCTATTTATCATTTATTTGTACTCGAGTACTTCTGTACAAATCAATTCCTTAATCCATCTATCCATCCAGATTTTAAAGTTTGACGTCTGATCCCCATCCAAGCATCGAAGAACGCCATCTTAGCGATATTCGGGCACTAAATATTTACCGGTAAGTAGGTACCTAGTACAGTAGTATCTAAATCACTAAATTAGCAGAACCCACAAACGAGCACAGGCTTATCTGATGTGATGTGATATGAGATGTGATACACGAAATGTATCAAGCTCGTCCTCTTCTCTTTTCTGCTGTTACAGCATGAGTATGAAACGCTAGAAATGTTGAAATGTTCGAGTGGCGGTTATGATAAATATTGATAGAAATCAAATAGATAGTTTTTCTTGAGATGATAGTAGTCTACATTCTCCTTGTGCCTTTTTTTTTCATCATGGATAATTGGTGACTTTGTTGATACTTTGAAACGGCGGACCCCCATCGTATACCCTTAATCTGTTTATGGGTTGTATGCGTGAACTGGACTGTTGAAGTATTTCTTGTAACACCTACCTAGGTATACGAGTACATAACCTCATATATTATCAAGAAATTCCCACGAAAAAAACATACACATACTGGTACACATAAAGCCAACAAACCCAAACTCACACTCACGCCAGCGCACTCACTCTCCCATGAACCCCAACCCCAATCATGGCGCAAAAACCCCCCCGCATCCTCGAGTACGAACGTCAGGCGGAACAGCGCGCCAAAGAACAAGATGACATGGCTACCGCCCAAGACCGCATGTTAGAAATTCAGACGCGCATGCAGGGCGAGGCGGATCGGATCGCCCAGGAACAGTATGAGATGGAGCAGTATTATGAGACGGAGGCGTTGAAGCATGTTGAGGAGATGAGAGTGCATGCGGAGGAGGTGAGGAGGCATGATGGTATGTTTTTGTGTGTTTTTATTTAAGGGGGTTTGGTTGATAGGGTGTGATGGGAGAGGGGTGGGGAGGGATGGGATGGGATGGGATGAGAAGGGAAAAGGGAGTAAATAGGAATAACTAACTTACTAAAAAACAGATTTCATGCGCATGCATCAGCGCAAGTTAAAAGATCACGAGGCCAGTATGGAGGCCTTTGCAAAAGTTATAGCGTTGCCGGTTAAGCCAGGGAGGACGAGGCAAATTAGTTTTTTGGCACCGCAGAGGGGGGCGGGAGCGGGGGCGGGTGCGGGTGGAAATGGGAATGGAAGTCCGGGGGGGAGTGTGGGTGGGAGTGTAGGTGGAAATGGAAATGGGAATGGGAATGGGAATGGATTGCTTGTGACGCCGCCGAGACCTCCGGCTGGGTTTCCGGGGTGAGGGGGAGGTTGAGTGGGGGGAGATTGGGGATGGGGATGAGGATGAAAATAAGAATGGTACTCAAAGGACACCCGAACATCTTATTACATCGTCGTATGCCGGATCCGGAGAGTACGCATAATAATAATGCTCCTATCAGAACAAGAAGCGGTCGGAAGAAAACCCGAAGGTCGAAAAAAGTTGATCACGAGGATCTCGTGATTAGATTACTGAGAGATCAGTATCATATCGTGTTGTGGTTATGGTTATGGTTGCTACAGAAGAAGAACTATTTCGCTACTAGGGAGTTCTTGGGGAGTTGGGGGGGAGTTGGGAGTTTTGAAGGATAGCCATTCATTCAACTGGAATTGAATTGGATTTGGAATTGAATTGAATTGAATTGAATTGAATTGAATCTAGATCATGAGCATGGCGTTGGTAGGATTAATTTGATTTGATTTGGATAGGATTAGAATCAGATTTGGAATTGGATTGGATTTGGAATTGGATAAGATTCCGACGATAATGTATTATGAAATAGGAAGAAAGGAGAATGGAGAATGGAGGTCAGTTAGTCAGGAAAGAAGATATCTGAGAAATTTATGAGTTTGTGAGTTTGTGAGTTTATACTGAGAATATGAATATTGAGATTTGTACGAGTAATCTTACTTGACTTGTATGTTTTATGTTTCACATATGTATGTATGTACGAGTATATCAATGAATATATAATGAGTAAGGTAAATGTAATCATTTTGATATATTCGAGTATGAAATGAGAACTGAAGGATATTTTATTATGGTCACCTTTTGCAATGTACCAATGTATCTGCAGGACTTGTGGACGGATTATTTTTCCCAATTACGAGTAATAATTTTATATTTATCGTATAGTGACTTTTTATACAATTACATCTATCTATTTACAGCCAGCAGCCGAGCAGAAGCAGACCATGCGAAGGAAGGTGCCGTATCATTTATCATTTATCATTATACCAAATCAGGAACCCCCCCGAGGCAAAAGAATAAAACCTCTCCTCAGTACCCCCTGAGCTGATCCCGAGAAACTCATATTGAGTTCCTCTACGAGTGATGCCGAGAACACTATAGCATATGATATCGCTGTAGACGAGTATGTTTTCATTCTTATACCTATCCTATCTCGTTGTTTGACAAAGTCTCATGAAATTTACCTCTTCTCAAACAGATCTACCCCAACCATACCCCCTTCACAACCTCCAATCCATCCTTCACCCATCCCACATCAACATCCGCTTCACAGTCAAACCCATGTTCCGCCCCCGTCTCCACATAAAATTTAAGACTCTCCTCACCAAACTCCTCGCTCCACTTCCCCGCAAATTTCGTGCTTCCTTCAACCGGTAACACGCTATCTCCATCCCCATGATATATCCACAGATACGGTACTTTTCCCTTTCCCTCCCCATTCCTCTTTTTCTCCCCCGCAACCTTTTCCAGCACCCGAAAAGGATAAACATGTTCCTCATCCCCAAACATCTCCTTGAACCTTCCCTGCTGCATCGCCACAAGAATTAAACTAAGCCTCTCAGTCGGATCCTGAGTATCCGAACAAAGTTCCCTTTTACTAGTCTCCGGATCCATCGCCTCCAAATGCCCATCTAGAATCGAAGTGGGTAGCATGGGAACCCCGAACGGATGTTTTTCGAATTTCTCGTTGAACCATTCAGATTCGATATCTAATTGGGGATATGCTGCTATACAAGCTTTGATGGTGTTTTCCGGCTCTGTCAATGCGGATAATACGGCTAGATGGCCGCCAGCGCTATCACCATATAGAAGGGTGCGGGAAAGATCGGCGGTGATAGTAGAAGGGAGAGAATTTTGGAATGCAGGAGTGCGGAGCCAGGTCCAGAAGTTGGAGATGTCGGAGATCATTTCTGGGGCGGAGGATTCGGGGAGAAGGCGGTAGTTGGGGGCGATGATGATGGCGGAGTTTTGGAGCGCGAGCGTAAGGAGGTATTGCGCGAACCAGATGGGGTAGATGCCGGAGCCGGCTACCTGGGGGTTGTTAGTGGGGGATAGGGAGGATGTTTGTGGGGGTTTAGCTACGGAGCCTCCACCGTGAATTTTCACGATCAGAGGATGTTTTCCGGGAGATATGTTTTTGGGAATTAAAACATAGGCTTGAATTTCATGGTTCTGGATGGTTCTGTAGGTAGTGACTGAGACGTCAAATTGGGAGAATCTTGGAGAATCCATAATGATGTTTTGAGAAGACTGTAATAAGACTGTAATGAATTGTAAGGTTTATTTTCTGGAGGGCGGAAAACTTGTTCACTTTATAGACCATGCAGTACTACAAGCTAAAGGTTGGAGGGAGGGAGCCGTTGATCGGTCCCACATTCGAGATCTGCCAGGACAAATACTGACACTGCTGACAGATGCGACGGGCCCACTTGGCTTTCGGGGAGTTAACACAAACTCTGTCTCTTGGTGCATTGATCATTAATATACCAGTAAGGAAAAATGAAGAGTACTTGGTGAAGGTGTGTAGTCTTTCTACTGTGATTAGATATGGCATAAAACATTTTAATATATCTATCAAGGTTTGGCTTTGATAAGACGTAAGCTGTAGCATCTGCAGAGTCGGAGAAATCCTCGGCTTTTCGTTGGTGTGAGCTATAGTCAAGAGGAGATTGTTAATCACTTTCTGTCAATCACTTTATGTTGACATACTTGACCCTCTGCCGCCTTGGAAGTCCGCTTTCTTGGAGACTTTGAGATGGGAAATGTTT